AGTAGCGCGCAGGCCTCCCAAACCCCCACCGGCGGCCAAGCGGTGACAGCCCAGCTCATCGTCATGAGCATGTGAGCTGCTGGTAAGGGGAGAAGCAGCGTGCACGGCTGCAGGGAATCTCACTGAAAAAACCGAGCTGGAATGAACACAGAAAATGCTGAGGCAGCCACGCCAGAAGCGTCGTGACCTGTCAGAGGAGATGCGTCCATCGACGTATATCTTCCTGGCGCCGTGCACGCTGCTTCTCCCATTACCAGCAGCTCAAACGCTCATGACGATGAGCTGGGCTGTCACCGCTTGGCCGCCGGTGGGGGGTTTGGGAGGCCGCATCACACACAGACACCCACGCACTGCCTCAACTTACACGAACACACACACACATACGCAGACTCATATACACACGGACATAGATACACGCACAGAAACCCACACACTACCTCAACTCACTCGACTTAACACTTCACACTGCACACTTAACAGATAACTCGCAGTCTGACTTCCTACGTGATGAAAAATGCTTTCGGGCCACTCGTCGTCTAGTTTGGTTTTGTGTGTTTCTTGTTTTGTTTTAGTTTGTTTGGGGTTGTTTGGGAGTGTTTTTTTGGGTTTGTTTTTGTTTGTTTGTTTGTTTGTTGGTTGGTTGGTTGGTTGGTTGGTTGGTTTCTTTGTTCGTGCCTGTTGGTTGTGGTTCATGTCACGTTCAATCCAGTTGCGCGGTTATGTCTAGCAAAAGGCACTTGCCATTTCTGCGCATCTCTATGCGTCCATTCAACGTCCTTTGGGCATTGGCAGGCGACGCAATGACACCGATTTCATGTCATTGCAAAGTGTGCCGCCTGAATGGCAGGTTTCTGCCGGGATACCGTCTTAAAGCAAATTGTATTGGTGCCATTTAGTAAAAACAACAAATGACACCTAATTTTCTGCATATCCGCCGATCCCAAGTGATGGGGGAGCGCGCCAGAGAATCGCCGTGCACGACGTTACCTGGGGCTTGTCCTGGTGATTGCCGGCCATAGGCTGCTTTTGGCAACTACCTGGGGCTTTGGCCTGCTTCGAAGGCGACGTTAGGCACTGCTGCGTTCAACTTCAGGGCCAGTGTATTTCGCTGTGCTCCATGGACAACCGGCCCCTTATACGGTCAAACGCTGGATTGGCTTAAATTCTTGAACTCTCACTTGGTGACCCCTTGGTGACCTAAGGCTGAATGCTTCCTCGAAGTCTCAAACCTGACGGTTCGAAAGAGGTGAACAAGAGGTGAAACTAGACGACGAGTGGCCCGAAAGCATTTTTCATCACGTAGGAAGTCAGACTGCGAGTTATCCAGAAAGTGTGCAGTGAGAAGTGTGAAGTCGAGTGAGTTGAGGTAGTGTGTGGGTTTCTGTGCGTGTGTCTATGTCCGTGTGGAAATGAGTCTGCGTATGTGTGTGTTCGTGTAAGTTGAGGGAGTGTGTGGGTGTCTGTGTGTGATGCGGCCTCCCAAACCCCCCACCGGTGGCCAAGCGGTGACAGCCCAGCTCATCGTCGTGAGCATTTGGGCTGCTGGCAAGGGGACAATGGCAGCCAGCGTGTTGGCTTGCCCACTTCAACTATGATGGCAGTCAGCGTGCTGGCTTACCCACTTCAACTATGATGGCAGCCAGCGTGCTGGCTTACCCACTTCAACTATGATGGTAGCCAGCGTACCCACTTCAACTATGATGGCAGCCAGCGTGCTGGCTTTGCCATCTGGACAATGGCAGCCAGCGTGCTGGCTTACCCGCTTCAACTATGATGCTAGCCAGCGTGCTGGCTTTGCCATCTCAACAATTGCATCACCACATGCCCGCGCCGGTCGTGTAAGTTGAGGGAGTGTGTGGGTGTCTGTGTGTGATGCGGCCTCCCAAACCCCCCACCAGTGGCCAAGCGGTGACAGCCCAGCTCATCGTCGTGAGCGTTTGGGCTGCCGGTAAGGGGACAATGGCAGCCAGCGTGCTGGCGTGCCCACTTCAACTATGATGGCAGCCAGCGTGTTGGCTTACCCACTTCAACTATGATGGCAGCCAGCGTGCTGGCTTACCCACTTCAACTATGATGGTAGCCAGCGTGCTGGCTCGTACCCACTTCAACTATGATGGCAGCCGGCGCGCTGGCTTTGCCAACTGGACAACGGCAGCCAGCGTGCTGGCTTACCCACTTCAACTATGATGCTAGCCAGCTTTGCCATCTCAACAATTGCATCACCACATGCCCGCGCCGGTCGTGTAAGTTGAGGGAGTGTGTGGGTGTCTGTGTGTGATGCGGCCTCCCAAACCCCCCGCCGGCGGCCAAGCGGTGACAGCCCAGCTCATCGTCGTGAGCATTTGGGCTGCTGGTAAGGGGACAATGGCAGCCAGCGCGCTGGCTTACCCACTTCAACTATGATGGCAGCCAGCGCGCTGGCTTACCCACTTCAAGTATGATGGCAGCCAGCGTGCTGGCTTACCCACTTCAACTATGATGGTAGTCAGCGTGCT